TGCAAAATGGGGCAACAGCAAACCTGAACAGAGTGAATAATTGCTTACAAAACAGCCGTGCAAACACAAAAACATTAAGTAAAACCAGTTATTAAAAGTTTTTTCAACAGTTAATGGAAAAGCAGAGACATTATTTAAAGGACTAAGAATTTAGGATCTTGCAAGGGCAATTTCCAGTGTTTCTAAAGACCCATGTTTGCTAAATTGCTAAAGCATCTTCTCAACTTTGCTGGAGAAGACCCTTAACCTATTGCTCTCAAGGTCCTTGCTGACACTGCAACAGCTCCCAAGGGCAGAAGACAAACAGTGAGAGTCCCACTCGTGTTATTCATGGTCCAGAGAAGAATACTCTCAGTCTGGGGGCTAAAACACATGTTCATTTTCTTGCCTACATGATTTAAAATTTAACATTCAACACTTGATTAGAATTGATCCAAAACTGGCACTTTTTCCTCAAGAGAGGTGGCACCTACCCTGTTTGTCACGCCCAAGCAGGGTCACCAGCACCTGCAGCAGCAGAGGATGCAGAAGGAATGAGCTGTGCAGTGCCTAAGCCCTGCACAAGTCCTGTTTGCTGTAGCTGAGGAGTGGAATGGGCAGCCAGGAAGGAGGGTGACACATGGAAGGGACGAGTCACAGAGCTGCTGCTGCTGGTGTCCCACCTCCAGCGACCTGCACTGAACCACTTACTGTGCAGCAGGGTGGGCGCGTGCGAGAGCCTCTCCGTATGGAGGCTGCAGCTACAAGAAAAACAGCATGAAGTTTAGTCAAGAATTCCCCACCCAAGTTCACTGTCCCCCAGCTTGGTGAGACATTAGGCTAGACTGCAGGACACTTTCTTCAAGCTACTGTCACACATGTACAAGAAAATCCACATAAACATGTTAAGTTTATTACAGAACAGCTTGCTAGAAATTAATTGGGTCCTAAGCTTTTAATGCTCCAGCTGATCCTTGGTCAATCTGTTACAAGAACAAATTGCCATTCCCAGCTGTGCCACACTAAGAGGTTTAACATCAGCACAGCCAGCCCTTAGGAAAAAACCTCCCAAAATAGCTGCCCCACGTTTAACTGGAGCAACGTTAACTGGAGGAAGGCTGCCGGAGGGGAACGTGCGTGAACACGGCCCTAGGGTGAGGTTGCATTAGGGCACTGAAAACCAGTGCTGAAAGGGTGGAGAACTGAGAGGCTGCAGAAACTAATTCTGCCCAATAAATCTTTTCAGTGAGGCTAGGGCATCTAAAACCCTGAAAATCCTGGCCTGAAAAGACCCAGAGATGTCTGAAAAAAACAACGTGGACTCCTGGCCCAAAACTACCAGCGCTGAGCAGAGCGCAGCAACACACTGAGAAACCCCAAAGCCTCTGATCCTCACCAGCTGCTGCACGTGCCAAATCTCCACTCAGGTTGTGCTCAGCATTTTTTCAGGCTCACTATTTTTTCAATTCCACAGACATTTTCTGTTTCAGTTTCTCCAGCTTTCCTCTTCATTTGTCCTTGCTCTACCTTGAGTTATTTACTGTTAGCACAACACCTAAAGCAACAGGACCTACGAGCTGCTTAGGGCCTTTGCTCAGTCCTGCAACATTGGGATTATGTAGTGATTTTAAATCTATGGTTCTGCCTTTCTGCAAGAAAAGCATACTATCAACAGATAGCAAATGCCACCTCTTTTCAGCATTGCTATCTCACTCCAAGATGACAACACAAAGAAAAGTTTTCCCTCCATAAATAATTTAGGTTGACATAATCACAGAATCTCATCGAGTGGCTGATACCTGAGCAGCCTCTGCTCAGAATTGGCTGCTGTTTCCCTGCTTACATGGGGCTGGTGCTGCTGTTATCACCAGTGCAGCGTGGCGGGAGAGTGGGGGAACAGAGAGGCTGCTCCACAGATGACTACTGAAAACTGGGAAGTGCTCAACATGGAAGAAATGCCTGTCTCGAGGAGAAGGAAAGAGGAAAAGTTTCTCAGAACAAAAGTTTCTCAGAAGAAACTCCCCAGCCCCTCTCTGCCAAGCTGGGCTGCATGGAGTCATCTCGCTGCGGCAGGAGGAAGGCTGGTCCCGTGGCTCCCGCGCAGAGCCGGGTGTCAGCAGCCACGGGGCTATTCCTGGCTGTCTCTGACTTGGCTCGTGACTCCAC